TCATGACTTACATATTTGATTTGTTGTGAAATATCGCAGATTCCTAGTTTTAATACTCGTAATTAAATTGATTTCATTATAGTTTTATTAAATATAGACGACATAAAAATAGAAATGCCATTATTTATCGAGTCTATACAAGAATAACTAATTTTTACGTATATTTAATATCAATAACTAAAACATATACTGACAATTAGTTTGACAGAATTGTCATTTATATTGTACTGTGAGCCATTTCATTATTCAGTCATGCTCTAATCTTCCAAGTCACTCTCTGTCTTATTTGGCCTTTGAGGCTCAACTTGTCCGATTATCATACATAATTAAACCCCTTAATGCCAAACATATGTGACGACTATGGCGAAGGCGCTTTCTATTGATATTCGAGAAAGAACGGGATAATGTTTCTAGTTTTGGCGAAGAACATTCTAGTACCTTTGCCAAAGTTTTAAATTTGTATATAAATATTGGTGGAGGAACAACGCGGCAGTCAGTTGTATATAGTCAGTTGTATAAAAACATTTGTGAAGATAAATAGTGAACAGTTTAAAGACATTCGAAATATATATAAATTAGAATAGTATTGTTTTAAAATAAATAAGTGTTTAAATAAATTATTAATAAATAAACTGTTGTTTAAATAAACAAACATCACATTGGTGTCGAGAAGTGAAATAGTGTAAATAAATAGTGGACAATAATGGCTAAAAGACTGTGTGATTTAAAAGTGATACGTCGGGAGTTAGAAGATCGCGAGTTGGAGACGACAGGGAAGAAAGCAGAACTGGCAGAACGACTTAAAGAAGCAATAGAAAATGAAGGTTTGGATTCGGAAACATCTATTTTCTGATGAATCATCTTCTGCTATAATTTTTTCAATTTCTTTCGATATGGAAAGTAAAATATCTTCCTTAAAAACCGATATTTCTTCTAACATTTCTTCATTAAAAACTAAAGTTTCTTCTGACATTACATCCTTAGACAGTAAAGTTTCGTCTGACATATCTTCTTTAAAAACAGAAATTTCTTCAGATTTGGAAAACAAAATCTCTTCTTTAAAAGATGAAATGTCTTCTGATATGACTTCTATCACAAACGAAATTTCTTCTATGGAAGATAAGATTTCTTACGTTAAGGAGAAAATAATGACTTCCGTTGAGGAGAAAATAAAAGAAATTGAAAAGAAGATAGAAGAAATGGAACACATAGACCAAACCAAGAACGGTGAAATAAAGTGCCATGAGGTAGAGTCGAAGTTGAATTTGGAAGGAGCTGTAAATTCTGCTCGTGTTAAAGCCCCAACTTTTGACTGGAAGATGTCGTGGACGAACTACCTTAAGCAGTTCGAAACAGCTGCCAGAGCAAACGAATGGTCTGAACGAGAGAAGGCAATAAATTTGACCATCGCCCTTCGAGGAGACGCTTTAGATGTCCTTCAGACTATACCTGTGGAACAGACCGATGATTTTGAGCAACTCAAAAAGAGACTAAATATGCGATATGGCCACGAAGATTTGGAGCACTATACCAATCACAGTTAAAGAATCTTTAACAGAAACGAGACGAGACCCTTCAAGAATATGAAGTGATATTTCGAAGATGGTGCGATTTGCCTACCCATCAGCTCTGGAATACATGATTGAATATTTGGCCGTTCAAGCATTTGTAGATGGACTTCGTGACCATGAAATGCAAAAAACACTTCTTTTAGCCCGTCACAAAACATTGGTCGATGTCTTGTCCGCTGTTCTTGAATATGAAGCGGCTACGCTGGCTTCTGGTGGATACAGTGTAGTAAGGACTGTAAAAGAAGAAAAACAGGAAATAAATATGACCAATTGTTTCACATGATAAAAAACCTTATTTAGAAGCAACCGAAGACTATTAGGTGCTGGAAATGCGGTGAAATGGAAAATGTAAGCAGTTCGCGCAAACTCCCAAAGAACACTACGAATCGAAAAACCGTGCCGGTGGCTGTACAGGGAGGAACGGTGTTGCCTGAAAGTAGTGAAACCATAAGACTAACGCGGTTGCAAGGAACTGTAGAGAAAGCAACGCCTATCATGGCGGAACCTTCGAAGAGCAATGAAGGTGTTGGTCAAGGAACTCTTTTTGGAAAGGGCTGGGCCACATCTGCTAAAGAAGTTACAGTACGAAGAACGTCGGTTGTCAGCAATGAGTGGGCCCCTGTCAAACTTAGGGAAGAACAAGAAAGTAATCCCGTTTTAAAGAAGATAAGAGAATGGAAAGAGGAAAATCGTCGACATACTTGGCAAGAAGTATCGAAACTCTCTCCAGTAGTTAAATCATATTGGGCTCAGTGGGACTCCTTTATCCTGGAAGAATGCTTACTAAAGCGAGTACTTGAAAATGATGATGGTTCCGAGAACAGAAGACAGTTGGTAATTCCAAGAAGTAGAGTAGCTGAAGTACTTCGTCAGTTACACGACAGTCCTTCAGGAGGACATCTAGGTGTTAGGAAAACCCTTCAGAGAGTTCGGGAAAAGTTTTACTAGATTAAAGTTCCCATGATGTAAAGGACTGGTGTAAGAAATGTACCACCTGTGCTATGAGTAATGGACCTCAACGAAAAAGGAAGGCTCCCATGAAGCAATACAACGTTGGTAGCCCATTTGAGAGAATCGCCTTATATATTGCTTTTACAAAGTGGGTGGAAGTCTATGCCATTCCAAATCAAGAGGCCCCAATGTTGCAGATGTGTTAATAAAAGAGTTTATCTGTCGATTTGGAGTACCCTTGGAGATCCACAGTGACCAAGGCAGAAATTTTGAACTTTTCCGTGGAATCTGTGACAGACTAGGCATGAAGAAAACCAGAACCACAGCATTGCACCAAAAATCCGATGGAATGGTTAGAGCTAATGAATAAGATCATTGGCAAATATCTGTCAAAAGTGGTTTCAAACCATTAGCAAGATTGGGATTAGTATCTTTCGCTCTTTGCAATGGCTTATAGATCCGCTGCCAATGAATCAACAGGCCAAACACCAGTAAAGGTCCTGTTTGGGCGTGAGATGAGACTACCGTGCGACCTCGAGTTTGGATGCCGATCTGTAGAAGATGTAGCTGGTGACGATTATGTGATCAAGTTGCCAAGAAGAATGGACGATATGCATGAATTGGTCCGCTCGCATCTTCAAATCGCCAGCGACAGGATGAAGAAACGGTACGATACCCAAGCTACAGAGTGATGTTTCAAGGAAGGCGAAAAAGTCATAACCCAAAAAGACAAAAAGGATATCCTCCGAAGCTTCAGAGATCTTGGGAAGGTCCGTATCTCATCAAGAAAAGAATCAATGATGTTCATCTACCGTATAAGTAAGATCCCGAACTGTAAACCGAAGGTAGTGCACCAAAACCGGCTGGCGTCATTTGAGGATGACCATGACGAGGAAGAAGAAGTAAACCAGCCTCAATAAACACCTGACCTTGTCTTGAAGAATTTATGCGTGCATATGGAGCTACCGGAAAAGCAAGACATGGTGTTACGACCGAGCTTCCAAAAGACTACTCGCTGGTCCATAGTATTTCCGCCAGCATCAACAACGCGCGAGGACTGGCATATGTATTCCGTAAGAAGTTTGGTCAACTGCTAGAACTTCAACGTCAGTTACCAGCCCCTGGAAAAGCCTTGAAACTTCAAGACCTTTTCAATTTGATAACAAAGAACACCTTTCGAGATCGATCCACGTACTGGAGTCCAATGTACAGAAACTAGCCATGCCGAAGATAAAAGGAAATCAGCTGGATTGGAGGATCATTAGGAACATGGTGGAAATAATCTTTCAAGATTCCGTCCAGGTTACAGCGAAGACAGTCCCTTGTTACTTCCATGCAATTGGAAATTGTAAAAGAGGGTTCAGTTGCAGATACAACCATTCCATTTTAGTTTCGTAAGAGTTCCAGGAGGAACTATCTCTTAAGGAGGAGGCAATGTAACGTGAGTCATTTCATTATTCAGTCATGCTCTAATCCTCCAAGTCCCTCTCTGTCTTATTTGGCCTTTGAGACTCAACTTGTCCGATTATCATACATAATTAAACCCTTAAGGCCAAACATATGTAACCACTATGGCGAAGGCGCTTTCGATTACTATTCGAGAAAGAACGGGATAATGTTTCAAGTTTTGGCGAAGAACATTCTAGTACCTTCGCCAAAGTTTTAAATTTGTATATAAATATTGGTGGAGGAACAACGCGGCAGTCAGTTGTATAAAAACATTTGTGAAGATAAATAGTGAACAGTTTAAAGACATTCGAAATATATATAAATTAGAATAGTATTGTTTTAAAATAAAATAAGTGTTTAAATAAATTATTAATAAATAAACTGTTGTTTAAATAAACAAACTTTACAATATAAAATTCAAAAAATAATAGGAGCCGGGTGACCAAAATATGAACTGTAGTTGATGAATTTCATTTTTTGTAGTGTACTTATTAGGTAGAATGGATATGAAATATACTTGTTCAGTTAACTGCAATGAACCGTTTTGTAGTCTGAGCGTGGATAAGCTAATATTCATGTGGGTGTAGAAAAAATAATTTAAAACTTCTTATCTGATTGTAAACGGACATGACAAAGATAGTAGAAATAAATATATAATAATAATAATAATAATAATAATAATAATAATAATAATAAAAAAAGGATTTTAAACATTTTAATAATTATAACGACATGCCCCAACTTTATACTAAAGAACGGTTTTTGATGTTTAAAAAAAAATAATTTAAAAATAAGAAAAAACTACTGAAGAAGGCACTGATCAGTGCCGAAAGCTTTACCCACGCATACATGAGTTTCATTTCTCACTAGCACCTAAAAACCCAAGAACTACAAAGAAAAAAAAATATAAATAAAAGTGTATTCAAAATAAATCAGTCTTCGCCCTTTATCAGCTAGTTCTTTTAATCCAATACCATTCTTCTAAGATAACAATTATACGATTTTATGACCTGATATTTTTATTTTTAGGCTGGTTTGTTACCAAATGGTTCGAGGTGGCTCAGAAGCAAAGCAAGAGGTGAAGAGGCAGTGTTAGAAGAATTTCCTGAAGCGACAATATTTAGACCTTCGGATGTATATGGACAAGAAGATAGATTTGTAAGGTAAACAAAAGTTTTACAATACACTGAAATAAAACACTTATTATTTATATTGTTTAAGTAATTTTTTATTAGAAAATGCCATCTGTGCAATTAAATTTAAAAAGTTATAAAATGTAAGTAGATCTATGTAAAGTGCCTCAAAAAGTCAATTTTATAAATCGTATGGATATTATTGCTGTTTGATATGTTATGTTTACATTCAGGATTTGTTCTAGTTATTCGCTCCGTGCGTGACAGCAGCGCTAATTCATTTATGCAATAATGGACTATTTTTGCATATACTGACAATACAATTTTTAATAGAATAAGGAAACATTCATTTATTGTTATTATTATATATTTTTTTCGCCTAAACTAAAAAACGTAAGTATAATCAATAATGAAATATAGGCAGATAACAGTATTTACGGGAAAATGTATGAGAAGTTGCCTAAGTGTATAATAAGTTGTGTTTAAAGAATTAACCTATTCTGTCAAAATAAAAAAATACCATTAAATATTAGCGTTAAATTAAAATGTATAAACAGAAGGATTGTATTTATATTTTCATTTTTGTTTCAAAGAAAACAAAATGAATGATTAAAACTGGTTTCCTATTAGTAAGTCACAAAATTGCATTCCAGCGACATACAATAATCAACGGCAGAAATCTAGTTCTTGCTGAACATTTAAGATTAAAGGGATGTTGAAGAACATCATAAAATGATAACTTATTGTTTACTAGCTGTTGTCCGCGGCTTTGCACTCGTGGAGTCGTGTTTATAATATCAAAAAATGGATGATTAATCATTTTTATTAATTTTTAATAATGATTAATTGTTTTTAATAATTTGTATTAATTTTTAATAATTTTTATAATTTTTTATTCTTTTTAATTTGTTATTTTTATTTATATTATTATTTATTTTTTAATTTTTTTTATCTATTTATTTAATTTATTTTTATTATTTAGTTTTACGGATACTCCCCATTTCCCCCTCCTTAAAATGTGAAAATCCAAAAACCTTGAAATACGTCATTATTTACCAATAATGACCAATAATTCCAATTTTCAAGTTCCTACCTTTAAAAAACCGAAAGTCTCATACAAACTTTCACCTTCCATTTTCCCCCTTAATGTCTATTTATTTATAATAAGTAGTTGCAATTCTAATTTTCAATTTTCTACCTTTAAAAAAAGCGATATCTCTATACCTTCACCCCTTTCTCCCATTTCTTCCCTTCCTTTTCCTTATCTCCTTTCCCCCTTAAAATATAAAAATCCAAAATCCCTGAAACACCATTATTTATTTGTGATGAGTAGCTATAATTCCAATTTTCAAGTTCCTACCTTTAAAAAAAATCGATATTTCCATAGAAACTTTTAAGGAGGTCCTTTCGGCACCAATGTTAAATAAAAAATATTAGATTATGACTAAAATTAATTTTTTTCTAATAGTAGATGTCCTTATTTATCTAATAGTGAACTTTTAACTATACCTTACCGTGCAAATTTTTGAGAATTTTTTTTTTAAAAATGTGTGTGTTTGTACAGTGTCTTATGAGAAAGTAAGACTTCAACAACAATTTTCGAATTATAATTAATTTTACTATTATTTATTGATTAGATGGAGTAGAAAAAAACTAAAAATAAGGTTTTTGAAATATTTAGGTTTTGTTTTTTACAATAAAATATATAGGTTACCGTGGAATTTATTGAGAACTTATTATTAAAAAATCACAAAAAAATTTCAACTAGGTTACTTGAAATTTTTTTGTGATTTTTTAATATTAATTTCTCAATATGTTCCACGGTTTACTATATATTTTTTATTGTATAAAACAAAATCTAAATATTTCAAAAACCTTATTTTTAGTTTTTTTCTACTCCATCTAATCAATAAATAATAGTATAATTCGAGAATTGTTGTTGAGGACTTACTTTCTCGTGAGGCACTGTACAAATACTCACATTTAAAAAAAAAAATTCTCAAAAATTTGCAAGGTAAGGTATAGTTAAAAGTTCAGTATTAGATAAATAAGGACTTCAACTATTAGAAAAAAATTAATTTTAGTCATAATCTAATAACTTTTTTTTAACATTTGAGGCGAGAGGTGTGGCGAAAGGACCTCCTTAACCTCCATTCCCCCCCACCCCCCCTTTAAAATGTGAAAATCCAAAACCATGAAACGCGTCATTATTTATTTATGCTCAGTAGCTGTATTTTAATTTTCATGTTTCACTACCACTATGCAAAAAAGCATGTCTGTCAAAAATAAATCTATCCCACCGGAACCGAAATCTATCCCACGGGAACCGAATATATTTTTCCATGATAAAAAGTAGCCTGTGTGGTATTCCAGACTATAATCTATCTTTGTGCCAAATTTAATCTAGATTCGTTCAGCCGTTCTTGCGTGATTGAGCTTCCAAACTTTCGCATTTTTATGTTAGTTAGATTTAAAGCCTTTTAACTTTCTGATGTCTACTGCTATTTCCAGTATTACTGTTATTATTACAAAAATAAAGGTAATTTTTCTTCTTATTGTACAGCTATCCATTTATTTTTTTGATTTAATTTCCAATTTTCTACTGAAATTTTTTATAATTTTTTTTTGCTAGTATTTTTACAATTTACAACACAGCAACTCCGGTTACTTATTATATTGTTTTTACCTATTTGTTTTGAAAAAAAGTAAAATGTATACGTGTAGTTGATATGCCATAATTACAAAATATCCCCCTAAAATGCACGAATTATCCGCAGCTAGCGCTAGTATCGCTTTTGCTTCCCCTACCATGACTTCGCACTGATCAAATAGTCATTAGCTAATAACAAAATCACTAAAAATATTTCAATTATAAAAATTAATTCATTGATAGGTATACTTAGCTCGCTAAAAAAATCAACCAGAGACAGATGGGTTCACAAAAGGTATATGAAAGCCCTTCATTGAATGAAAAGTGTCGAAAATATACCTAACCAATTGCCGGAGACAATAGACCACATAACGAGTTGCTGTAAACTTCTTGAGCGAACTGATTATACAGAGCAACATAACAGCAAAAATGCACTAGGAATACTTTGAACTTAAAAATACAATGAACATCCTAATATAAATGAAGATACAAGTTGCTAATTGGCCTATGTAACATAAACATACTTTAGAGATATTTAAATTTATCATTTATCATCTGGTAACATCTTTATTTGAAAGAATATAATGGAACATAGTTATTAAACTGAACTTTACATACATATGCCCTTCATTTATGAAAAAAACCTCGATTTAAAGAAGGAATACTTCAGAAATAGCGATTTTAGAATTTTGATTTAATGTTTCTTTTTATTATTTTTATTTTTGGTGAACTATATTAACAAAACAATTATACACAATAGATCGAATACAACATTAATATGCAAATATATCAAAAACACATACCCTGAACATTGCCTACTAACCTAATAAACAAATGACAAATAGAATCCACTAAATAGACATTACATGGATGCTCACAAAGTTAATACACCACCGTTTATTAATTTTACCCACAGAAGTTACATCTAGCTCATTCATTAACAATTTACAAAACTAGACATGCCCTTACACACTTCTCATGCTAAGCCAAAGACACGAATCTCACTGAGCTCAGATAAATATACGGAGTGGCCCAAAAGTCTGGAAACGGCCAATTATCTCGTAAATTGCTAATCCTTATTGTACTTGTACAAAATTTGGGATACACCTAGTTTGGGATACGGAGATTCCAGATTTGATATTTGCAATGTTGCCAGATTTACAGTTTCTCTTATATTATTAGTCACTTTGGTTTTTCAAATTCATCACCCTGTATATTCAGTCATTATTGGAATCTCCTATTCAATACGAGTTCAACCATATGTAACACTTATGATTTTATGTAGTTTGGAAGGTCTTAAATAAATAAAACAATCATGGAGAAATGTGGTAGACGCATTCTACCATCGATTAGGGTACTGTCAACTCACAAATGGAGCACATTCTGAACACTTGATAAAGTAACCATTATGTTAAAAATGTTATAATCTTTCAATTGTTACGTTTTAATGTAGTTGAAAATAGTTTGTATTAAAAAATTTATTGAGACAATTAGGCGTTGCTAGACTTATTTTATTTATTTAAGACCTTCCAGACTAAAATCATAAGTGTTACATATGGTTGAACTCGTATTGAATAGGAGATTCCAATAATGACTGAATATACAGGGTAATGAATTTGAAAAACCAAAGTGACTAATAATTTAAGAGAAACGGCAAATCTGGAAACATTGCAAATATCAAATGTGGAATCACCGTATTCCAAAATAGGTGTACCCCAAATTTTGTACAATTAGGACTAGCAATTTACGAGATAATTGGCCGTTTCCAGACTTTTGGGCCACTCTGTATAACGGTACCTGAGGCAGAAATAGCCAGAAAACATCTCTGATCAAAAGAGGTATTAAGACAAAAGCTAAAGGTACCTCCAAAGTAATTTTTCACAGAAGACACTACATAAGTAACATTTATATAAAAACTATGATTAGTAACAGTTGTACTAAAACTTAAATAATATTTAGCGATTCGCAAAGCGTTCTAGTGAATTACTTTTTTTTGTGAGAAAAAATAAATAAAGTTAGCTCACAATGGAAAATTGAAGTATGCTGTGTGCTCAATATTAATTTCTTATTAATGAGGTTGAAATTATAACTCACAGTAACTAATATTACTTGCAAAATGAGCTGAATATAATCTAAATAGAGAAAACAAGTAAGAAAGAATAAAAAAACGATAGTCTGTATAATTATCAATGATGGACAAATCTTACTATTATATTACAAACGTAGGTAAAGAAAAGTAATATAAGCACAATGTCATTTATTGTAGGTTGGTAACAGAAAAACTCGTTTCCATAGTTCATTGATTTTTAATAATTAAGTTGGGGGTCTTTAGTGTTTACGAGTCATGACTTTGAGATCGAAGGGGCTCAGGTTCGAATCC